CTGCAGAAGGCTTCATAATTTCCGTCTTGTCAGCGTTTAGCGTTCTGAGCGGTTAGGACTGTATATTTATTGATCCAGCATTTTACGTGTCCGCCAGTGTTTTGAGCATTTCGAGCATTCGCTTTTTTTTCTTTTTTGAATGTTCCGAGAGGAGCGCTCAACACGTTGGGCTTGGCATCTACACTTTTTGAAAACGCCCGTGGGAGGCGCTAACCGATTCTCATCCATTCCTTTGTAGCGCATTCTTTCAGATCATCACCTCATTCACAAAGTATGAAGGGAGTCCAAACAGTTTCAAAGAAGCTACGGCATAAAACCCGTCAAGCTGAGACGGCAAGAGCGGCCCTGATGGCGTAACAGAAAAGCACTGCGGAAAGCATGAGATTGGGGCTCATGTCCCAATCTCATGCTCATGCCTGGGGTCAAGACTTCTGCCAAGAACTCAGCATTCTTGCGAAATTTTTCTCAAAACATTCCATTTGAGAATCCACTTCACCTTTTCTTTCTTGACCTTACTTTCTACTTCTGATCCTTCTGTATGTGCGTCCATTTTGACTGAATAATTATGTTTTCAGTTGATTGATGCGATTTGTCTGGAAACTAAGGAGCGAGGCGCTTACCGTATAAACGAGAGCGATGCGTTGAATTCTGTGAAAGCTGTGTCATTGTTTCCCGCTAGAGTGGTCAGTTCTTTCTCCGATTTTTTTTCTTTCTGTTTATTCGCTTATTGGCACTGTAGAACCATTGCTACCGCAAAATTCCAAGAAAAACTTGAAGGAAAAAGTTTTGCCTGTAGGTGTATTATGTTCTCTTATCAAGAATATGACATTCGTTTTTAGCTATTGACGCTAATTTGGTGTCCAATTGGGCGACCTTTCTAACTAGAATCGAGGGGAGCCTGTATACCTGGGGTTATTTGGCATCCTGATTAAGAAAACATTCGTTTGTAACGCTAGTGCCATCTGGCGTCAATAGGCGCCAATTTGGCGCCACCGCTTTTTTTTCACCGAAAACGATATAAACCTGCTGCACTGTGGAATTATTTGGTCCTGATTACGAATATAGCATTCATTTTTGGCGCCAGAACTAACATAGCCCACTATGTTTATTTGCGCTCTGCTACACTCTACTTCGCTGCGGACGGTTGGGCGTGTCAGCCAGTGTGCACAGCGTCAAAGGCCGTTCTCTGCCTTCTTGTTGAAGCGCGCATGCGACAAAAAGTGGTAGAAAACGAGTAATACGATCGATATGATACAGTCATATCATTTGTTCGCTTTAAAAACTGGTGGAGAACGGGTTTGGCACCGCGCCAAACGCAGCCGCACTGACACGCCCAACCGTCCGCAGAGAACTACACTATAGGTCTGAGCCAGGTGAATCACTACATGTCACAGACAGCCTCGGCAAAGCGAAGAGTGGTGCTGTCGTTGAAAAGAGAATGCCATATCGTTATTAGGGCATCAAAGAACCCTATTGTGCAGGTTTGTACCCATTCTAAAAAAAGTGGTATCGCCAAATTGGCGCCTATTGACGTCTTATGGATCCAGCGTCAAAAGCGAATGTGATATTGTGACTAGGGCACAGAATTACCCCCAAGGGCAACGTTTGGGCGAGTTTTTTTTGTAGAGTTCTTAGGGGAGTAATAGTTCAATAGTGCCTTTTCTTTCATCACGTTATTTTACGTTTGAGAGTGAATATTTAGGTCCCTCGAACAACACTGAAGATTTTCGCGTCTAAATCAAGACCAGATGATGAAGCACCTCCATGTACTCGGCCAGCAGTTATTAATGATCAGCCTTCCCAGAAACCTGGCCAACCGCTGGTTCGACCACGTAAGCCTGTGATCGACGAGGCACGTTTTCTTGAGGATATCCGCAAAATGAGGCCCAAGGATATACGAGAACCTCAGACGTACCACTCGCATAAGTTGGCGCTTGAGGCGAAAGATCTACGGCCACGTTTGGGAGCTGCAGCTATTGCTGAGGCGACAGCTGCTATGGAACGGCCAGCGAGGCACTTCGTTGGACGGCCACAGCCGCTGATCACCGAGGACCGAGGTTGTGTTCAACCTGAAGCTCACAACCTACAACAGATACCGGAACTATCTGGGTATTGTGGGTCCCATGCCAAATATTAACCAACGTTGGACCGCTGACGAAACTTCCTGCATACTTACAGGCTTTGCAACAGAGGAATGAAATGTTAGGGTTGAATTCTGGTGGTAACCCACCCAGACAAGGTCCTGCTCAGCCCTTTCCAGTGAATCGCCCTGTTCAACAGCCAGTAC